GGTAAACTAGCGAGTTGTAGCATCGCTGTATGCTGGCCGTGCGTCATCGACGGAGCCAGTAACGCGAGTCTCACCGTAACAACAGGGTAGTTGCATTAGCGGTTAGAGAAATAGCTCAGGTGTTTCAGAGGCTCTCATATTTGCTTTATTCAATCTATCCGCTCTTCTGTGTTTCAATGCTCTCGCCAGACGTTTTATAGATGGGAAGGCAAGGCCGCAACCACAAACTGCTCGCCACCTGAACTAATATGCTATATTGCGAACATACCTGCTCAGCATGTTTATCGTTTATCCATATAGGGAACAGAGATCAAAACTGACAGGAGGCTGTGGATCGTATATAGACACAACCAACGTGGCGTAGCGCATGCTCCGGCGATTAATTGACATGGCAGCACGAAGAAATGCTGGCCACAAATGTACAAGATATCAAAGACACTGGGTTCAACACTGTTGCTCTTTTCCTTATGCTGTTTTTGTTGATTTTCTTCTTTTTTACTTTGGATTTGGGCTTTTACTGCCGTTGCTTTCTTCAATCGATGATGCTTTAGTACACATCTACAATCTTGGAAGGTATGGAATTGTCATCACTGTGTTTCTGCTCACGTACAAGGTGTTTACAACAAGCAATATTGGTCCAAATCAGCGACTGATTTGTAGTGACACATTGAGATATTGGAGATTCCTACAGACTGACTGTCAGCAAAATGTGAACATTTTCGCTGCTCTTCACAACGCTATAAACCACTTGATTAAGACTGTCGCATTTGAAGAGAACAACATTTCTCGTGAGAACAAAAACGTTTGATCTCAAAGTCGTCACAGATCACCTTGAAAAAGCAATGAGTTCTCTTCCTGCTGAAGCACCTTGTGAAGTAGATGGTGAAGTTTGTCTTAAAGACATAGTCGACGACTTCAAAACTGCCATAGGCACATGTCAACTAATTCGAACCAAATTCATATAAAAATTGGTGTCGATTCGGGACAAGCTTGTTTCAGTCCGGGACAGAGTAAACGAAGCCAATGAGCACGTGAGGTTTAGTAGGGAGAAGCAAAAGAGTTTGAAAAGGTTTCGTGCTGGTATAACTCATTTTCGGAAAACCCTAGTAGTAATACTAGGGATTCCTCCGATGTATCTCTATGGTGACAAAGCAAACACACTAACTGCAGCATTGATCTATCAGAAGTTCTCCAGAAAGCAACAAGAGATACCTGCTTCTTCTTTCGCTTATTGAGGAAGAATTCGGAACCTGAGAATTACTGTTCCTATTATTATAGTAGGTTAGCTAGAGACATTAAATATGCTTGCGAAGACATGTTGCTAACTTTTGTATATCCCTTATGACAGGTTTTTATATCTGAGTGTACATGATTTTAACTATTAGTGAAAAAAACTTAATGTATTGCATGAGGGAACTCTCATGATAGAAATCTAATAATTATAGCTCTATAGCTACATTATTATTACAAACTTCTCTGCACACTTTTCGCTAAACATCTCACAATGCAGGATGGAAAAACAGCTTTGGACAAAGCCAGAGCTAAAAGTCACGGCCGAGAAGTAGAATGTCTGCTCAGTATATATACCTAATTATGTTCTTTGTAACTATGTATGTATTTGTATTGTAGACCAAACCAATGGCGATTTTTGCGCGTGGTCATGCAGTGCTTTGCCGCGTTTGTTAGGGGGCGTGCCGGATCTCGGGATCGGTCGAGGAACGCCCTTTTTTGTGGGTGACGCCCACTGAAAGTGCACCGTTAACTCTGGATCGCCGCACGCAATGGGAAACAGGATCTCTTTACTACTGGTATATGCTGATAGTAACTATGAAATTTGTGCGTTTCGTTATTGCAGAGAGTCATACGTCGGTGAACTAGCCAGAGCAGCTCGTTACACTGGTTGTGCTACTGCTGGTAGAGTTTTTTCATACCTAGCTTTTGGCCCTTTGCGTACGGCCTCGCTGTTGTTATCCGTCTTTGCTTTAGTTTACAGATACTGTAGAATAAGTGGCATTTTAAAGTAGCGGAGACAATACTGATGAGTAAAAGTGGGCGTTGCCCGAAGTTTAGGGTAGAGGAGGAGAGCTTCATCCCGCGAAGGGGCTGGCTCCGCGAGACTACCAAAACACTGAGTGTAGAAAGATAGCCTTTACAAGTAATAATACATCGCATACCTATCATCTGCAGACAAAGAAGTGTTTTTGCTTGAAAAATTCTGTGTTCTCATTCAAAACGTATGGGCAAGATTCATCACAAATTCTCACAAACGAGGGATTTAGCAGTGGGATGTCTTAATTTTCAAACAAAAAGCTGAGTCGTTGATGGACGGGTATGTGCATGTCCTAAACATGTGATTTTCCATTAACACTATTCATGATCCTTTATAAGGTATATAGCTAGCTACCAACCAACTATGCAAGCAAAAACATTGGCCCTCTCTCCCCAAATCTTTCTGTGGAACCTGGTATCCAGTCAGGACATTTTGGAGGGTCAGCAGTATTTTAAACGAAATCTGAAACATTGAAACACATGGGCACAATGCTATGTCATCACTACTGATAGCAAAGTTACATACATACACTTCTCAAGCACAGGTTTTATCTGCAGGTTGGTAGGAATTGTAAGGTCCTTTACTTGTAAGGCTAGTCAGCTGGAATATGTACATGTAGTGCTATTTTCAGCAAATACACGTAATAAAGAAACCCTGGCGTGTGAAAGGGGTTGGTACTGCCATGCAAGGACTAAAGTGTAGCAAAAGAAGTCAATTCGCCTGGTCGATGTGCTTAGTGTATTATAGAACATGCCCTTCCATAAAACACCATGCGAATTACTCCGTATCGCAGCTTCACCTGGTGCAAAAATAATCATTAGTAACTGTAGTCCTTTTACACCTTCTTCCTTCACTAGACCGGTGACCCCAACGACATATCACTAAATCTCAGCGGTCTGTATGGCTATCAGAATGTGGTGATCCATACAGCCCAGGTGCTGGGCTCTGGAGCCTATGGCAATGCTGTGAAGGCAACACTGGATAAAAACCCATGTGCTGCTAAAATCCTCCATCGAGTCATCGTGGACTCCCAGGACCCTGGACTCTCTGACTTCATCTCTCGATTTGAGCAGGAGTGCCAGATCCTGCGAGACCTGAAACACCCCAACATTGTCCAGTTCCTGGGTGTGGTCCAAGACCCCTCCACCAACAAGCCCATTCTCCTCATGGAGCTGATGAAAGACAGTCTGACACATTTTCTGGAGAGCTCGCCAACCGACATACCCTACCATGTCCAAGTGAACATCTCCCACGACATAGCTCTAGCAGTGGCTCACCTGCACAGGAATGGCATCCTCCATCGAGACCTGTCCAGCAACAACATCCTCCTGAATGCCAGCCACCTGGCCAAGGTGACCGACTTTGGCATGTCCAAGATCGCAGCCTCCAATCCCTCCATGACCCGCAGTAAGGTGACCCAGTGTCCAGGAACACTGGTCTACATGCCACCAGAGGCCCTTCGTCCCCAGCCTCGCTACTCCGACAAGATCGACACATTCTCCATTGGAGTTCTCCTTCTCCAGATTGTCACCAGAAAGTTCCCTGCTCCCACTGCTGCCTCCACCACTAGGGAAGATCCTAGCTCTGCCTGGGGAGAGATTGATGTCCCCATTCCTGAAATGGAACGTCGAAAGTCGGATATCGTCAAAGTGCCAGCCTACAGTGGTTTTCTTCCAGTCATTAGGGACTGCCTCAAAGACAAGAGTAAAGACAGACCAACAGCCGCCCAGCTCTGCCAGAGACTGGGCCAACTGAAGAGCACTGCAGTCTACAGTGGGAGTCGTAGTGCACTGCTTTTTGAAGTAGGTTTATCCCTAATATAATTTTGCTTGTAACTCTTCTAATTATCCATGTCTCTATACCCAGGGAAGAACAGAGCTTCACGATGCTGCTGAGAGAGGAGATGTGAAGACAGTTGAGAGACTCCTCTCCACTTCTGTCAATATCAACTCCAGGACTGAGGATGTGAGGCTCTCTACTAGTGAATGTGTAGTCTCATTTCTGACTCAGTTCATTGACTGCTGCTCCACTGGTCTCTGTATCCCCACCACTTGCAGAAAGGACACACTGCTCTACTGTTAGCCTCTTGGAAAGGTCATGTTGAGGTTGTACGTCTGTTGCTCAAGGCTGGGGCTGCAGTCTTCATTCCTGACAAGGTTTGGAGACCATGTAATGTTTTACTGTATTGTTTCCTGTTCCAATTGTCTGTATGTACACAGTGTTGCAGGACTCCACTGTACTGGGCTTCATTCAATGGTCACAGAGCAGTAGTGGAGCTACTGCTAGAGAATGGAGCTGATGTCAGCATCTGCAGTGAGGTATATATTCTATACCGTGATAGTCGGAGACCTCTCAGTATTATACAGTCTTAGCCTATAGTGAGAAGTGTAGACTATATACTTGTGAAGGTTGGATGAGGAGGAGACCTGACTGAGATGGTTGTCAGGTCTCCTGGTGTCCAGGGAGGGAGATGAGTTGTCAGTAGTGAGTCAGGAATGTCTCATTATAGTTCTCTCTCACTGTACAGGATGGTCTCAGTCCACTCTATGTTGCCAGTTGTAATGGACACACTGAGGTGGTGGATGTTCTGGTGAAAGCAGGAGCTGATGTCAATCAGGCTACAACCAAGGTATGTGAGGAATTTTGATAATTGTACGCAGAAGTGGAAAAAATACAATTCACATCTGAGTATTGGTTAGTGTCGTGTCTCATTCCCTGATCCTCTGAAACCACACTCTGAGGTGTCTGGTCTTCACTGACCTGACAATGCTGAACTCATCAAATGAGCTTCACAATTCACAGTTTCTCTCTCTCATCAGAGTGGTTCAGTTCCTCTGGGGATAGCTGTCCAGCATGGACACACTGAGACAGTTCAGAGACTGTTGGAGGCAGGAGCCAACGTCAACCACCAGAACAAGGTTGAGGTTTTTGGTTTTCAAAATCAACATACTTTTTCCTACGTGCATCTCTGCACACGGCATGTGCACAAGTACCAGTTTTGTGTCATGCAGGAAGCCAGGGTCTGAGTGATTGTTTGACAAATCCTTCCAACACAACTGATAGTTTCCCAGGGATACATAATATTTCAGTTAGTGGACTGGGCTCCGGGCTCACACATATACTGTAAAGTTTTACTTTGAAATGGACGAAATGGAGTTAAAATATGCAATATTCGCGTGTCGCGCTTGTGTATAACTCTTGCATTAACTCCCCTCATTCATGTTATATTGTTATCAATTGGACTGACTATTTCTGTTCTCACCTCACACCATGTCCCATGTCCAGTGTTCTGTTGTATTTTCTCCACAGAATGGTCAGACTCCAGTCTACTCTGCCTCCTTCAAGGGTCATACAGCTGTAGTTAAACTGCTGATAGAGAATGGAGCTGACATCAGTATCTGTGATGAGGTATTGTACAGTTGTTACACTCTCTGTAGCTGGTTAAGTAAAACTGCAAACTAGTTGTTTCGAACACTCTCATGTCTCATCTGTTGACCTAAAATACTCCTGTCGATTGCTGTGGACTAAAACGTTCGAGCCATATACAGTGTAAAAATAAATAGCCATAAAAATGTGGGAAGTTTCATACAAGGCGGCCTTGGATGTAACGTGATATCTGCACAAGCTTCAGAGCTGAATAATGCACCTCAGTCAAAGGAATGTAACAACTTTGATAACTGGTGATCCCCTTTTATCATGGGCTTACTTTCCACACCCTCCAGTTGTCTGAAATTTGTGCATTGATTTCTTGGCAATGGCTAACAGATAGCCATGCATGTCAGCAAACACTGTTGGTACGTAATTACATGTTTCAGACTGGAAGTAAACCCCACTTCATACTCTCTCACTGTACAGATTGGTGCCAGTCCACTCTTTGTTGCCAGTCAAGAGGGACACTCTGATGTAGTGGACATTCTGCTAGAGGCTGGTGCTGATGTCAACCAGGCCACCACTGAGGTATGATACACAGTTGTTTTAGAGCTAGTCGGCTCATTTGTCCACCAACCATGGTGGCAGTGGTGTAGCCAAGAGCTCTGACTAGACCTTAACACTGAGATTGGTATGTACAACAAAGCTGTCAAGCACTTTTGTTAGTGCAACACATGTCACTAAAACGTGTGTAAACCTGCGATGAAATTTGCATAATACACATGTGCATGCAAGAATTTATGTGTATGTGTATGTGTCTGATCCCACAATAATGGTCTAGTTTCCCGTGGTCTCACTCTACGATCAGCTAGGTATAATACACAGTGTAATATTTCAGGAGATAGTGTAGGGTTGTTAATGTGTGTGTCTGCAGTAGAGAGTCTCGCTTGAAGCTGTATATAGACAAGAACAACGAAGGTTTCATGGAAGTGTGACATTACCTTCATTCGTGAGATACATGAGCCAACAATCAAGGAAATGCAACACCTTTGCTACCGGGTGATCCCCTTTCATCATGGTCTTATTTTGTACACCCTTCCCATGGCCTGAAATTATAGTAGCCGTTTGGTTGCTAGGCAATTGCTAACAAATAGCCATGGATGTCAGCAAACTCTGTTTGTAGCTACATGTTCCAGACTGGAAGTAAACCCCACTTCCTACTCTCTCACTGTACAGGATGGTGTCAGTCCACTCTATATTGCCAGTCAAGAGGGACACTCTGATGTAGTGGACATTCTGCTAGAGGCTGGTGCTGATGTCCACCAGGCCACCACCAAGGTATGATACACAGTTGTTCTAGAGCTAGTCAGCTCATTTGTCCACCAACCATGGTGGCAGTGGTGTAGCCAAGAGCTCTGACTAGACCTCAACACTGAGATTGGTATGTACAACAAAGCTGTCAAGCACTTTTGTTAGTGCAACACATGTCACTAAAACATGTGTAAACCTGCGATGCAATTTGCATAATACACATGTGCATGCAAGAATTTATGTGTATATGTATGTGTCTGATCCCACAATCATGGTCTAGTTTCCCGTTGTCTCACTCTACTATCAGCTAGGTATAATACACAGTGTATCATTTTAGGAAACACTACATCCCATACTCACCCGTCAAACGGAACTCGTACTCTTTTCTTCGGTGTTCGTGAGAACGCAGCACTTTTACGAAAGTGAAAAGCCATAGCTACCATGTTCTGATGCATTGTATGTCTGTGTGTTTGTTAGTGTCGTGTCTCATTCCCTATCCTGTAACATTACTATACATCCCATACTCACCATTCATACAGAATTTACTCTCGGTTTTCCTGAGAAAGCAGCATTCTTACTCTTTAATTAATGTGGTCATTGAATTGACCACTTCTCTTTCCATGCAGGAAACATGCAGTGTTCCCCTGGGGATAGCTGCCCAGAAGGGACACACTGAGACAGTTCAGAGACTGTTGGAGGCAGGAGCCAACGTCAACCACCAGAACAAGGTTGAGGTTTTTGGTTTTCAAAATCAACATACTTTTTCCTACGTGCATCTCTGCACACGGCATGCGCACAAGTGCCAGTTTTGTGTGGTTGATGTCATGCGGGAAGTCAGGGTCTGAGTGATTGTTTGACAAATCCTTCCACAACAACTGATAGTTTCCCAGGGATACATAATTATTTCAGTTAGTGGACCGGGCTCCATTACTTCCAGGGTTTAGTCCCTGTGATTGTACTCAGGGCAGGAGGGAGTGGCAACACCCTCCTCTCACCCAAGCACTCTGTGGGTAATTAGATGGGAGGAGCCATGTGTAGGGTGGCAAAGTATTATTTGGTCACAATGGCAGCCCAGACAACAACTACTCAGGAAGTGTGCCACTGTCGCTTATTTGCAACAAACTACTTGCATAGTGCTACACAAGATAATGAACAAATGCCTGTCTCTTTCATAATGCTTCGTATTAGCTTTGATGGTCTGTATTATAATTTCAACACAGAAAGGAGGCACAGCCTTGCTTGTTGCAGGATTGAAAGGTCACTCAGAGGTGGTGAAACTACTGCTAGGAGCTGGGGCCAGAGACATTCCTGATAAGGTAGACCACTGAGTCACTATGATGTGTAGGAAGAGTGTCCTCATGAACCTCAGGGTGTACATAGACACAAGTGTGTGTCAAACCTATTCTAAACTATTTTAAGAAGGAAAGAGAGCTATCCTGGGTGGGACTCGAACCAACGACACTCTGTTCCCTAGCTATGGGGCAGCTCAGGAGGCAGTGCTTAACCAAACGTTAATAGTTTTATGAAGATTGCCCACATATGCACATTGTCTTTACCAAAGCACAGTTTACCATTGCACGCAATAAAGAGGTGTGGCACTGTTCATGCAAAATCGCTATATGGGGCTGGGTAGTACTGAACTGTTCTCTTCTGTTTGCCAATCATAGTAATGGGAGGTGTCTTCATGCATATTAACTTGACACATGTCTAATGGACGTCTATTTGTCTCTTACAGGATGGAGACACTGCTCTGAGTATGGCCAGAGCCAACAACCACAATGATGTGGTACAGTATCTACTGCAACACCAGCCAAAGTGAAAAGTAGACACTCTAGCACTGTTACAAGAACATAGTTATTACACTGCATATCTTTTACATAAGAAAATTGACTCTTTATAATTCATGTTTAGGCTGCTTAAAATACTATGTACGTAGATGCAAAATTTCATCACCCTCCTACTACAAACTTCCCTCAATTATTATCTGTTATAATAATTTTCCATGAAGACCCATAGTCATGAAAGAACCTGATGCCAATGGCTAATGCATGCACAGAACCGGTTTCACAAGAGCATGGGGCAAATTTTAATATTAGTTTATCATATCTCAGAAGGAAATTCAGCTGGTGGAAATCTCTCAATGCCTGTGTGTAGCTATAAGCTGAAACACATTCAACTTCTGTATAATGTCTTTCTTTGCCTTTAGCCAAAACTCCCAGTCGATACAGCACAATGCCTTCTTGAAGTAAACGTAGAGCCTTGTCTTGATGCTGGTATTGGAAAAACGGTGTCTTTGCTACTGATTTTACTTTTTGCAGTCCTGCTATTGGAGGTTTTCTGTATACTTATCTTTTATGTCGAGTTAATTGTCGACCACAGAATCATACGAAGTTCTAGCCTAAGAGCCTTAGCCTTTTTCTGAGCTTTATCCTGACCATGGAAAATCCGTTACTTTATTGAATATGAAAAGCACTGAAGTGCAAACCCTCGGCGCATTGTGACGCGCACGCGTAAGTAAACGCATGCGCCGTACCACTAATTGATGGGCTGGGTTTAGTTTTAGCTGTTACTCGTGGTCTCTTCCCAGCTCGCGCAGAGTCTGACGCGGGCTAACTACACTACTAGATAGCATGCGAGAGGCGATACACGCCCTGCGTTGCATCTTCTGGTGCCTCTGAGGTACGCAGGGCACGCGGATCGATCAGACCGTGGTAAGCCGTCCCGTCCGTTGCCTATTTGCATATTAGCTTTTTCTCGCTCTAGCTCTGCAACGGAGCAGTTTCAGAGAAAACCCCACATATTTTCTGACCTTCATTGCCCGTTCAGTAGGTGGTATCCTTTGTGAGACGAACGAACACTCGAGAAGTGAGATGACGAGTAACAGACAGACGCACACACAGACAGACAAACCCAATGAAAAGCACTGAAGTGCAAACCCCTCGGCGCAATACTGGCTGTTTGTTCTTTATTATTGTCACGTTTTACTGTTGATTTATCAAAGTGAAATGTACAACTTGGTTGTGACTCATACTGAGTGTGACAGTTTAGTGAGGCAGAGTTCAGTGACGAGAGATGTTAATGATAGTGTGAAACTTGTTGTAAGAGAGGTCAAACGGTGGAGAAAACAGAATATCTTCATTTGTGATGCTGCTTTCTTTATTGGCTATGCTTTTTATTACATCTCCATGTGCGCGAAGAGAAATTACATTCTGATCATTCTTGACAAACAGTCGAGCACTTAGCTTTGGATCACTTAGCCTTTGTGTTGTCTTGCATGAGCTGCATGTTCCCGCCATTTCTGCGGTCGGCGTGACAGTCTTTTTGCAGTTCATGCAAGTAAATACTGCATCGAACTGTTGAACGCCAAAAACTGTTACCTGTTTTAGGTTGTGCTCTTCATCTTTGGAACTATCAGAATCAATATCGAGATTTTCGATGTCACTAATTTGCTCAATGGTTGAGCCAGTAATAGGTATCGACAGATGGCGTTTACCCATAAAAATGCGAACAGTAACTCGGCTAACTTGATATGAAGCGTGTAGTTGTAAGGTATTGACGTGTGATTCCCAAAGCGTTAAGGTTGTTTTCCCGGTAGCATCAGCTACGACGACATCTTGTTTGATTTTACCGGTTGTCACTGCTTGAGGTTCACGGAGTTTTACAACTTTGGCCTGGATGGTGACTTTGTCATATTCTTGTTTTGTGTCAAGCTCGCATAGAGCAATTAAAGGACTCCCGATAGTCTTGAAATCAGTTATTTCAAATGCCATAGAAGATTCTTGAATTTTTGTATGTCCTTTTAGTACAACTTCTAACTTTCCATGAAACTTATTCTGTTGAATTTGGCAATTTATTGGCCACCTTTCGGTCACAGAATGAAAGAAGAAGTTGCCTTTGAGCCTTGTCAAATCCGACAATTCTGGTGATGGATTCTCCATCAGTTATTTCTCCGTCAAAATAACGTGATGGTTTGAGAGGCGAGACAGATGCAATTAATGCATGAACAGTTGCATTAGAACTTGGAGAATTGATATTTGTTGGCGAAATGGGTGTTTGTGAGGAGTCCTGCTTCAAGTGTTTTTTAGGAGTTGTATCCTCAAATGTCAAGGGCCTCTTTGCCATGATTAGTGAACTGTATTGGGGGGAAATGTATTGAGCTGACTCAGCAAATATGGCATTGAGTCATGTGAGGTTGTGTAATGTTAGTGAACATGCTGAGAATGCACCATAATGAAGTGGGGGGAGCTACTATCCATGGATTTTCTGTTCTTGTTGTTTCAGTGTAGCAAAACGGGCTATGCACCAGCAATGCGCAGGGCGTGGCTAAGCAATGAAGCGCTGACCCTGCTTTCTCTATCCTCTGGTTAGAGTATAACTGAGATGCACTTGGTTGGCCGTGAGTGTCGCTTGTGCAGATGGTATACATTCCATGCGGTTACAAGCATGCTGGTGTAGCACAAAAACCACTCAGCGGATTTGAACCAGGTAAGCGGCAGAGTAACCGGATCGTGAAGCGCTACAAAGCACTATAGGATAGGGTGCCATATACGGAATTTTGTGGGTGCATTCTCAACACGAATGTACAATATTCCCCAGGGCTCAGGTGTAGTCAAATCGCGGGGCTGCACGAGCGATCGAGCAGGCTCTCGCACCCTCTCGTACGCGGTGAATGGTGTAAATCAGTGCAGTCTGAGTAAAATCTTTCTGGCAGACCGGGAGAGAGAGTAGGTGTTAATGAGACTTACCAGCAATTGACACTCCGTCCGCTCAGTACAGTAGCAGTCCACTGTACGACAAGTAGGAGGGGGAGGAGATGATGAAAGTGGCTATTGGCCGAGCAACCAAACTGGGCAGCTATATAGCAAACAAGATGGTGGCGACTAATACACGTGGCCAGGAGTACACTGCGCATGCGCGAGAACCGTCCAACTGCGCATGACATAATATCAGTTTTGCAGCAACATCATAAGTTTTGGTGAAAAGTCACTGAGAATGGGGTCCAAATAGGTGCATGCTTGTTCTGGGGCTGTGATTGGAAATCAGAGCTGACTTGAGATCAGAGGATAGCCTGCATGTAAAACACAATGATATCTATAGAGCAGAAAATGTTTGGGGTGTGTGTTTTTGCTGTTTTCAGGCCTACTACACAATGTGGGTGGGACCATCTGTACATAAAAATTCAATGTAAAAGGCTTCTCCTTTTGACTATAAAACTGAGAAGTTGCACACAGTATGTTATAACCCACCTTTCATGTTCTTCATAGTCAGTGACTACCTCAGAGTTCCAGGGTCATCATTGGTATATACACCTCAGACCTGTGTCTTCATCATTGGTAGCCATGGAGTAGACACAGGAACATGTTTTTTCTCGTTTCATTGGTTTGCATTGGCTTCACTGGTTTGCATTGATTGCTGGTTTTGCTTTTGACTGCTTTGGTTGGTTTATTTTTGCCTAATAATTGCTTTTGGCTGCTTTGGTTGGCTTCTTTTGCTACATCAATATCAGGCTTCACTGGCTTTCAAACAGGCTCATGGTGTGGCATTTTGTACACAAGTTGATAGGCTGCTATTTGACACAAATTTGGCTAAAATATGCTGACATGCTAGTTAGACAATTCACAATGGAATGCTGCAATAGACAGTGTCATGATCGGAATAGTAGGTATCTTGCACTTGGACTATAGCAGACACAGTACTGCCAGATGTATTCCGATAGTATATATGGTCAATCAGTGTGCCTTGAGCTGTTGTTGGGCACGGCACAAGCTGTTGGAAACTGAAACTTGACATAAGTGGCAAAATTGCTGAGTTATGATGGTGTACAATGTCTTCATTAAAATCGCCCAGTATGACACAAGGTGTGTTGCACAGTGTTACATGTCTTAACAGTCTAGTCAGCACAGTGATCATTGTTGCTCTGGGGACACTAGGTGATCTGTATACCACTGCTATTTGAATACTGCTTGCGTTGGGTAACTGTATGGTAGCTGATACTGCCTCAATGCCATCTGTTGCAAATCTCTGTACATTGGATGGGTTCATTTGGCTAGGAACACATAGCAAAACTCCACCTTTGTTTTCACATGTAACTCTATCACATCTGATGTCAATCTGGTCATCTAGTAACACAGGGGAAGGCTGAGATGCATTTAGCCAGGTTTCACAAAAGCATAGTATGCTAGCACATCTGAGACTGTGGTCAGCTGTAATATCTGGCAATTTGGCTAGTATTGATCTCACATTCAACAATGCAATGGTAACATGAGATGATGGGTCACATGTAACTTGAGACACTGGTTGCAATAGGTTGGAATTTAGCCTGAACATCTCATTTTCCACATCAATGCTTTTCTTAATGGCTTTGCTATTGAAATTTAGAATATGCAGGCCAGTTAGTGTTTTAACACGACTGAATGCAACATATGCTTGTCCAGGACTGAATCTGCCACCTTTCATATCAACAACAATCTCATCAAGTGTAACCTTGTACTTTGTGTATTGTGGTAGCCCATGCTAGTGTCAGTGGGAATTGCAAACGTTTGATTTCAGATCCACGTTTTCCTTTGGCAAAGAACACAACTTCATACTTGTTTAGTGGTACAGCATTAGCAAATCTAGCTCGATGTGGGCTTGTCTGAATTGATTTGAGGCCAACTGTGTTATTGTCAAATTTCACAAGTATGCTAGTGACATCATTGCTATTGTTAGTAGCAATATGGACCACTTCACCTCTTGCACCATTCACAAGACCATCTGATACGTCAACATTAGCTGTTAGCATCACACGAGCACCAATAGCTAGTTTCAGTGTACTGCGAAGGCCACCTGTTTCAGATCTTTTGTTAGATAGACTGCTAAGAGAGATGTGACATGTTTGGCCAGCTACTGAATCATGGGCTTTAATGGTATACTGTGCACTCTGTGGAGCTAGTTTGTTCAACATAAGTGAGTTTTGTGTGTCAACATCTGCATTTAGTCTGTACACATGTAAGGCTTGGGTAGGATAGTTAGCTGTGTCTGCTGGTATTTCACGAGATTTCAGAATTTTAACATCATCAGATGTGCAACTGTTGGTTCTCACTCTGCACAATAGCTCTGAGAATGCACTGTCACCTCTTTGTCTCATTATTTCAGTTAGTTCAAGCATCAGGAAATGGTCAACCCACAATGAACCTGAGCCATATAGCTGGGCATAGCAGTCACTTGCAGTGCTAAACAGTGGCGCTTGGGCAACAGGTGGTAACTGATACAGATCTCCAACAGCTAGTATGCTCACACCGCCAAATACAGCATCATCTGATACACCTTTTATCTGCTGTAATCGTTTGTGGATCTCAAGCAACATGTTTGAACCAACCATACTGATTTCGTCAATGATGAGTAGCATTAAACGTGATAGTCTGGTTCGCAATGTGTTCAATCTGTCATGACTGAGAGGCTGAAAACCACTGTATTTGCTACGTCCCAATAGTAATGCTGAGTGCAATGTCATGCCATTGATGTTAAATGCAGCAACACCAGTGGGAGCAGTTAGTAGTACAACAACATCATCTGGTTCAAAGGTTCCTGATAGCTTAAGCAATTTCAGTGTGTCAGAATGGATCAGCTTTATCACATGTGATTTGCCAACACCACCAGGGCCACTAAGGAACACATGGTATGGCTCAACAGGCTTATTTGCTTTCAATGCTAGGACAGCTTTCTTACACCAGTCACGATGGAACATAACAATGGATTTTTGCTGGTCATTCAAATCTCTGATATACTGTCTATACTGCTCAGGAGGGATTTCTTGCTTATTGGCAGCACTCTCAAATCTGATATGCCTGCTAGATTGTGATAGAATGTTTTGGTTATCTTGCAAGTCTTGTTGGGATACCTCAGTTAGTTGCTCGCTACCTTCAGCTATGGAATGCAATCTGTTTTCTTCAGTTGATGGTGCAATATTGTCCCACAAATGCTCAGGTGGACCATTTTCATCAACATCAATGCCATATATGTCTTCTTTAGTGTACTTTGATTCATTGGTATGCACAGTATCACACACATGTCTGTAATGGGCTTCATAGGTAGGATATCCACCAAGTAAATCTGTTTGCTCATCAAACCAAGGATAGTACAGCATGAGTTTTGCTCTATACCAATTGCTAGCGTCAGTCTCTTTGTTATACTTTCTGAATCTAATCACAGCTTGTTGCTTTCGCTCGTTCATTTTGCCAAACTTATCAGTGAGTGTGATTTGAGTAGATGTGGTATCACTTTCTAAAGCTGGTATGGCATCAAACATACTGTCATCTGGCTTATAGTTAACAACATATGCGGCAGCAAACTCAGCTAGACACATTGAGTTCAACTGTTGTGGCCTATGCTGGTATCGGTCAATGAGGCTTTTCTGAAATACATTGGTATCATCATCATTTAGCTGGCTAAGTGAGTCGTCGTTTTTCAAAATTGCAATTCTCTCATTTTGGGGTTAGTATTAACAAATATAACAGATCTGCTCAACTGTTTCATAGGTATTGACAGTATTCTATAGACAGCTTCTTGTGCACTAACTTCTCTGTGTGTTAGGAATGCTGAGCCAACTTTTCTCAACTGGGTT